ATTACAAAACTTTTGTTTTTAATAATAAAATAGTAAAAGTTAAACTAAGTAACATTAAAGATAAAAATTGAATACATTTGCTGTAAAAGTTTTGAAATTTTTAACAAAAAAATTAAAAAAAAAAATTAAAAAAATAATTACCAATCGGAACCATATATAAAAACTTCTTTATCTATTAATATAATAATAAAAATTGTACCAATTACAGTTAAAATTTAAAATATGAAGTATCTACTGTGAAAATTTGAGATTTTTAAATTGAGAATTGAGTTTAATATTAACGGTTGAATATTGGATATTTCAAAATTATACTCTTTAGTTTAATCATACATTGCTCTCTCAATTCTCAATATATAAGACTGAAATTTGTACAAATAATGCTTCATATTTTAGGCTTTAAGGTGACATAATATCACATTAATTGTTAAGATAATAAATAATCAAGTTTTTCAGGTATAAACGATCGATATAATTATTTTTGAATTTTATCAAATTTTGGTCATTTTAATTCACGTCTAATTGAAGTCAAAATTTTTATTAGGTATCGAGAAAAATGTCAATAATTAAAATTTTAGATATTATTTTTAGCTACAATTTATATAAGATAGTTGGTATCTATCCTTAATAACCATCGAATGTGCTATAGGTAATGATCTAAAAATAAATTTATTATTTTTTGTCAGTTTCATTTTAAGCGTAACATCTCTATGTATAGGTGTTCGATTTTATCACAAAATCATGTGATAGCCCTAGTTTAGGAAATCTAATGTCACGGTCTGCGCAGAACAATGTCTCAATAAATTTAGGGATAATTCAATGTATTACTAACACATTATCTTTTGTGTGTAATATCTCAAAACAATGCAATTACGTGTAATATCTGAAGGTACGGTGAGCAAGTGGAGTAAAAGTATCTTGACTGACTGCTTCATATGCTACCAGACTTTTTAAAATAACTTGCCAAGAAGAGTAAAACAGTTTATTAAAAGATTTCTTAAAATTTATTAAAAGAATAAGTTAATAGAGATATATTACTGCGTTGGCGTACTTATCTCTATTGCTATTCCGAAACACGAAATTATTATTAATAATAATAAAAAATTTTAATAGTTTTTAATTTTAAGATTATTTCGAAACTATTTGTATTTGCTATTACAAAAATTATTAGAAAATTATTATTATATAAAAAAAAAATATAATTATGAAATATTCAGATTGTTAAGAAATTATTTGTTATGATATAATTATTAGGAAATTCATTATTAAGGTAAGAAAATTATATGATTTAAAAGTTTTCGTGAGAGGAGGTCTTTCTTTCTAGCCGCAGTTATTTTATAGTTTTCTCTTTGCATACCTTCATCCTCTGTCATCCAAAAAAACGTTTTCGTACCAAGATGAATAAACAGTTATCCTGGATGATGGATGACACACAAGGATAATTCATCCAAATAATGACACCTATCATCATCTATCATCCCAGCTATTTTCGTGCCGCCTCACTAATAAAAAAAAGTTTGTACAATTTAGATCATTGTGCCACAATTAGTATTTTAATTTTAGCAATTATTTTTAAATTTTATCATTCCACAAATACTTTTGCTAGGAAAGTTTATATACTGTATATGTTCTTTGAATTACCATATTCCCATACCCATATCCTTTGGATCCTTTTTTCTCTAAGCTATTTTTTTTTAGAATTCACAAAAAAAGTTAAAATTTCTTTCGCAAAAAAATTTTTCATATCTATAAAATTTTTTCTTTGTCAACTAGTCAACTATTATTTCATAATTGAATTATAAGGTATTTAATTATGAATTTTTATTTAATAAAATGATACGTTTTGTAGTCACGGATGAATCCAATTCGAATTATATTATTCTTATTTCTTTGCACTATAAACCGCAAAATTTTTGAATTATGAATACACATAATCTTCAAAGTTGTTTATTTCCTTTAAAGCAACTTTTTTCAATAACCAAACCTATTTTTTTAAAATATTTTTTATTCAGCAGGATACATGAATTCTGCTTCACTCTAACCCACTCCCCTTAAGGAGAAGCACATCAGAAAATTATATTAGGTGAAAATTTGCACCAATTTTACCATCTCGAAAATTTGCGCAAGTTTTTTGTATGTTTTTTTTCCGTTTTTTGACTTCTCTCACGGTTTTCGAGGCACAGAGAGATTTTCTACTAAGGTATTTTAAAACAAATAGAACAATCTTGTTCTTAGCTACAAAATGATATATGTTTAATTGATATTTGCAGAGATCACATGGTTTTAAAAAAATTTTGTGAAAAAACGTGCGAAAATTGCTAAAGCTTCTCGATGCTACAGAAATTAGACACATACTATTTTGTAGCTAAGAACAAGGCTGTCCTATCTGTCTTAGAAACACCTTAGTAGAAAATCTCACTGTGCCTCGAAAACCACGAGCGAAGTCTAAAAAATGGAAAAAAACGCACAGAAAACTTGCGCAAATTTTTGAAGGTAGTGAAAATTTTCGGCTAGCAAAATTTCCTGATGCATCTGGCAAGAATCCAAATACGAACCTCGTTAAATAAAATTGAGGCTTTGATTGAAAAAGATGACTATTTTTGATATTTGAAAATCATTAAATATCCAAGAATCTGATATCTCTTTAACATTCCCAAACTCTTGAGTAAAATCTCAGGAATTAATCGATCAACATTATCATAAATAATAACTAAAAGTCTGTCAAGTTTTTGTTTTATAAACTTCAGAAATTCTTTTAAAAGTATTTAGAACCACCTTCCACTCCGGTTTTCATAATTGCTCGAATAATATTAACTTTTCTTTTATTTGTGCACTACAAAAAATACATAGTTTATTTTCTGACAATCTTTTGAAGGTAGAGTTGATTTTATATTATAATTTAATTTTTTTATATTTTATAAACACAGAAATATAGAAAATCAAAATGAAAGTAGAATAAAAAAATTCGTAGGTTTAAAAATCTTAAATATAATCAATATAATCTTAATACTTATACACATGTATTGGTCACATCACATGATTAAATTATGGCCAATCACAATTCAGGAATGTATTATCACGTGCGTATCTTTATCTAAATATTATGACCCACACGCCTTGAGCAATGCTAAGGCTGCTGACTTTTTAGGATAAAGATATAAATGTTGCAAGAAATGCATGTAAAACTTTTAAGCATGTGTGATAATAGAGGAAAATTTCAGAAATTTAGAAGATATTAACAAATAATGATAAATTTTATATAATATTTTCTATTCAAAGGGGAATAAATTCTCTAATGTATCATCATTGAATTGAGCAAATATTTTTGAGTTTGAATGTAAAATCAACATTAAATGCAAAAGTATTTACTTTAGTAAAGCAATGCGCTTCAACGTCTTCCGATTTGAGTGATTGATTCTTAATTTCGTCGATAATTTCTTGTTTTATATTATTTATTTCCATTTTAGTTCGTGCTTCAGCAAATATTTTTGGGTTATTTGTATTTTCACCGCTTTCTTTTAAATTTTTGGCATTCATATAGTCATTAATTCCAACACACATATCATCCCAATTCTCCATTCTGTAGGTTTCGTTGCTGCGAGACTTTAAGTGTTCGAACAGTTTTTTTCGTGAACTTTCTCTATCTTCCTCATCAATTTTTCGTCTTTTTTCACTTTCACTTAGCGGGGGGTTGTTTACATACACAATACCTCCGCAACTATTAATCAAGTTAGAAATTTCTTTATTTTCTTTACTCAGTTCTTTCCTATCTTTATCACATTTCTCGGAATTTTCAAAGCTTTCAAATCTGTTTCTCACAATGGTCGTATGTTCAATAATTTCTCTTCCAAAGATTTTTTTAGCCATAACAAAGAGTTCCCTTTCTTCTTCAGTAAATCTTCCCCCTAATACTATAAATATTTGTTTTATTCCTCTTTTCATTGTGTAAATAGCCTCAGCAAGCTTGAAAATAACTTTCTCATGGGATAAATTGGTGTCACCAACTCCGATGGTATCAATAACTCGATATTTAATTCCTTCATGCTCAAAGACTTCGTTTTGGAAATTTTTAGTTTTGCTAACTGAACCTTCACTTTCTTTAAAATCATTACTACCACTAATTACATTAGCTAAAGTAGACTTTCCACTACCAGTTCTGCCAATCAAGAGTATATTGTTTTCTACATCATCTTCATGCGTTTCAAATTCGTACACACATTTATTGATTAATTTTGGATTTACTGGGATTTCTTTGGCTTTTTCAAAGACTTCTTCCTTTGTTTTGTAAAAATTCATTAAATCAGGAAATCTTTTGATTGCTTTTACTTTTACCTCGTCACTGTCTTCGTAATCATAATTAATAAGTCTAATAGCATATAAGTTATAAACTTTATTAATTACTATTGCATAATTTTTGTTATCATTAGAAAAATGAGTAACTTCTTTAATTTTTCCACGAATGTTAGTCTTGTCTCTTATTTCTTTGTCTTTTTCTGTTAATTTAAATTTTGCCATAAAAGATAATATCTCTTTCTAGGTAGTATTTAATTTTTCATCGTTCAACTTATAGGGTGATTTGACTCGGTAACAATATAATATCATTCCGAGTAAAAAATAATTAACTTTTTGTGCAGGCTTATTATTGTATCACAAGTTTTAATTTCATTCATTCATTTCCTATTTTGTATAAAACCTAACTGCGGTGAGGTCGCCTATTCTAAATTAGGATTGATTCAGTTATCGATCGGACCTCTCATTCAATTGAAATAAGTAATAATTTCTTTATGAATTGGTCACATTTGGTCATCTGAAAAAGAAATCGTGAAATATATTTATTTATATTTTTGTTTTTTTTAAAAAATTAAAAACGCCAAATTAACTAACGTTGAATATCTTTAAATACATATATTTATATTAGTACGTATGGATAACATTATTTTTTTTTTACAATATATTTATTTAAAAATAACATCAATGATTCGAAACGCGCATTTGCCCAAGATCCCCGTTTGTGATTGGCTCACCTTGAGATTAAATAATAAAAAATTATGTTAATCTCTAAGTGCATTTCGAATCTACAACTTATTCTATTTCTTTTCTCTAAAGCTCAATATAGTCTTTTTTTTTTTTTTTGTTATTGTAGTTCAGTTAAGCAATAAAGAACTTTAGTTAGAGCCAAAGGTGTATTGTATATATATTTTATTCATAATATATTAGTAGCCAAAGGTAACAATATGACATGTTTATAAAGCGGAAAACGTGACCAGATCCCTTAATTCCATTATACTATATTTTAAACTATATTTTAAATGATAATGTTTCTAATTTTATTTTGACTATTTTTTTTTTTACATCTGGTAATCATTCGTTTGTGTAAGGCCCTGTCGTGCCATAATTTATATCACCATCTTTGAAATGAGATAAATATGGAAACACACGTAAATACCACGTCTGCATGACACGAATATAGAAGTTCATTACATTAAATAATTGCTAAATAATTACTAAATAATTAAAAAAACATCTCACAAAAAAGAACTGTAAAACGTAACCTACAATAAAACTAACAAAGTGTGATAAAAAATTCAATTTTATAAAAAAAAAAATACTTTACTTATTTTAAGTTGGAAATATGCCCTGAATGAAATCAAGGAGATACATATCACTGGACATTCAATTGGTGCCAACTATGCTACCTCCAATCAATTCGAAAATGATTTTGATAAATGGACAAGTGGTAATGATGTTCAAGATGTTCAAATTATAGATTTGGAATAATAGAATGGAAATCTTATGATAGATTAGAATCTATTATAAAAATAGCGAAAGGTGATTCTGGAACAATACGGATTGATGGACGAATTGAGAAATGGGATATCGAAAATCAACAATGAAAAGATATGGTATGTAATATAAAAAAAAATTGATAATTTTTGCAAGTTTAAATGATGATTTCTTAAATGAGGTAAATTATTTTTAATTAATCTGGAAATTCGTGTTCCAAATTATATAATATATTAAAGAAAATATATAAATATTATTTAGATGTCAATTCACTTAAGAACATTATGCACTTCTAATACTTCAATTCGATTTTTTAGAATTACATAAGAAATATATGATGGTTATAGAATATGCTGAAGATGGGAATCTTAGAGATTATTTAAAAATTATTTTAGTAATATTAGATGGGAAGGAAATTATTTTATTTAAAAGAATTAGCTTATAATTTTAAAAGAATTCATAAATTAGATATAGTCACAGGATTTTCATCCCGGAAATATTTATCAAGTAATTTTATTATTTATGAATTTAATTTATATATTACAGATTTTGAATAAGTGAATTAATAGAGTCAAATATGATTAATCCCGAAAAGAAGAAATACCTTATGTAGTTCAGAGTGAAGAGTATAAAAGGCAGCAGTGTTGATGTATATCATTTGGAATGTAATTTACGAATCATTACAGTGATCCATCATATCATGATATACCACATAATAAAGGTTTGGCAATTAAAATATGTAATGGAATACGACCAAAACTCTATTTCATAATTACCAGATTATTCATCGACCAACTTTTGAAAAAATTGTTTGAAAAATTGTATTGGATTCTGAAGTTAGAATTCAAATTAAACTATATCTTTATAAATTATTTATTTTTCAGATTTAAATTTATTTTAATTTATTTTAGCTGATTCCGGAGTGATCGATTTAGATGTCGAATCTTATTTTTTTTTTTTAGTTTAGTTAACATTTTTTAAAAAATAATAGCTGATATATGATTTTCCAGATAACTTTTTAAATATACAGCGATTTAAAATTGCTAATAAAAATAAATAAAAAGCAATCAAATCTCAAAAACACGAATTATCTCTATTTTTAACTAAATCACGTCCACAATCCTATTATATAAATGTGTTCATACTCCTCAATTAAATGTTTCATTAGATGATATAAAATCTGGAAAATTACCAAGTATTATTTTTAGAATATTTTAACAATGTTATAAATTTTAAATTTTATGGATCCTAATTTATCAAAGTCTGATGGTTCAAGTGTCAATGCTTATGATATCGATTCCAATGAATTATTAAAGTGTATTTATTGGGATAAAGAAATTAAAAATTCAAGCATAAAAAGAGATCATTCTCTAATATTTCTGCTTTAGATGATGATTCAAAAGAATCCAAGGAATGTATTAATTTAAATAGTGTGAATAATATTGCTTATAAGAAAACTAGAAAGGACTAGATGCATGGTTTTTTTTTTGAGGTAGAAAACCATAATATTGTTTATATCTAATTTATTTTTTTCGAGTATGTTTTTAATTATTATTTTTATATTTATTGCAAGAATGTCTTTATTTTTGATATAGAATCTGAATGTACAAGAAAATTAGTCATAATTTATCATCAGTTGGACTTTTAGTAACCAACATTGATACATACATCAAGTCTGAATAACACTTCAGTTTAACATATTATTAGTTTTATACTATTACATAAATATATATCAATTATTAAATATATATCATGTGCTCGATCAAAGAATGGTTTTTTTTTCATACATACAGTAATTCCACCAAAACTATAAATATCACCATTATTAGTGAATGCATATTATCACTATCTAATTTTAATTAAGTAACTGACTAAACTACATAGATCAAGATCAGCAATTGATGTAACTAAAATATTTACACTAAGTAGGCCACGATGAACTAAATTTTTTCATGTAAGGGAGAATGACCACCTGTTATTGTTTCAATAAATTTTTTTTTTATTTTCCGCCTTAAATTCCAAAAAAAAAATTGGACAAAAATTTATGTAAGACATCATTATATAATTACATAACAATAATGTAATTTTGTGTATAAGGACTTCTTAAAATTCCGTAACAATTAATAGTATAAAAGGGAATAAGTATCAATTATCATATTTATATCAATGTACAAAAAATTATATCACACTCTAGTTCATTTGTTTTAAGAATTATTTATCAATGTTGTTATGATCCAAGTTCACTATCTTTAATGCTAACAACAAACATACTAGCAACCATAACGATCTCAAATAATTAAAGTAAATAAACACCAATCATGTTTGTTGGCTTGGTGTGTTGTTGAACCTTTTAAAGTTAGTCACCATGATTACTGAGTTTTTTCAGTTGTTTAATACAATGCTATTGGTAGATCTTTGTAAAACATAATAGTGCTTAGTGTTGTTAATGGTCTGACTTGAGGAAAATGTCAAGACAAACACTGGCAAGTCAAGCCAAACCAATCTGAACCCAATCAACTTGAAAGCACAAGTCAAACCAAGCTGGACCCGATGTAATCAAATGGGGTTAATGGGATCGATGATGTTGATTTCCACAAAAATATTCAGATTCCAAATCTACTGTTACGGATCTGGATCAGATCTTACTGTTTCGGATATGGATTCAGGATTCGGATCAATCTAAAGAGAAAGAAAAGTAGACAAAAATTTTTTTTTAATTAAATTCATAAAAATTTAGAAAATAATAATAAATATTTGAATATTTTTTGAATATTTTTCGGATCAATCCAAATAAAATAAAAAATTGGATTCAGATTTTAAAAGTTGGATCCGTATATGACGAATTCGAATATCAGATCAGATCTGAATATTGATAAAATCTGATCCGATCTGACTTTACAGAACCCTAAGTTGACCTCAACTGACTATACAAGTTCCCAATATTGATTTCTAATTTTTGAGGTATTTAATCTTTTTGAGATTTTTGAGATATCTATTCTATACATGAAAATAAAAAAAATGCCTACATCAGGAAATTTTATTAGGTGAAAGATTGCACAAATTTTTATCTATATTTTTACTGTTTTTTCAACTTGGTTCACGATTTTCTACTAAGGCATTTATAAAATAGAAAGAAAGACCTGGTTCTTTGCTACAGAATGATATGTGTTTTGTTCTGGAAGAATCAATATTCGTGGAGTTATTCATATTTAAAGTCAAATGTCCGTGAAAAAATCATTTGAAAATTTGCGGAAATTTGTGCAATCTTTTGCCTCAAAAATTTCCACAAAATTTCACTAAAATATTGGCGATTTTTCACAATATTTGTGCCAATTTCTGCAAATTTTTGCACGATTTTTTCACAGACATTCAACTTTAAACACGAATAACTATGTGAATATTAATGCTATCAGAATGAAACACGTATTATACTGTAGCCAAGAACCAGGCCTTTTATTCTACCTTAGGAATATCTTAGTAGAAAATCACTCTGCGCCTCAAAAATTGTGAGCGAAGTCAAAAAAAAACAGATAAAATCTGTACAAATTTGTGCAGGTGTAGAAAATTTGCATAAATTTTCGCCTATTAAAATTTCTTGATGACTAGTTTATTGTATTTTTAATCAAAGAATTTATCTGAGTGGTTAAAAAATTTCTGATTTTAAGTAAAATGAGTTTGACTTTCAGGCTCCAAAATATTTTGACTTATCTATAATAGGCTATTTTGCGTGCAAGTATAAACAAACTATAAAGTTGATGAGGTTAAAAAGTTGATTGAAAATTATTATTATTGATTTTTCTTTATTTAAATTTATTAATTGGAAAAATTAAACATTTTCTATATGAAAATAAATAACTATTAAATATTAATTTTTATTATTTATTATTACAACCACTATTACTATTATTATTATCATCAAAATTCATCTACTGATAAAACAAATGTTTAGGTTAATAACTTTGCATAAAGAAGTCCAATTTGGATGAAAAAACATCTGAAACTTTTATAGTAAGTACACCTCATTTCTAGCTTCATATTATCTTAGTAATGTTTTTGATATTTAACTAATAAAAAGTGGAGAGATTGATTTTCAGATTTATTACATATTATATATCACTTCCTTGCAAAAAGTATTCGAACACCTGAAAATTTTAAAAAAAATTACTAAAATTAAAATGCTAATTGTAACATTAACAAACTTTTTTTTATTGAATTCTCCTAACTAGAACTATCATTTTATATGTTTATGTCAAAATCAAGTATCTACATTTGGATAATTACACTTGAAATAAAATTGACAAAAAATAATAAATTTAATCTTTGATCATTATCTATATAGCATTCAATGAATATTAAATATGATACCAACTATCTTATATAAAAATGTAACCAAAGTGTTATCTACAATTTTAATTAGAAGCATTTTTCTTGACTTTACTTTAAATAAAAACTGCTGAAATTTAATAAAAATAAAGATTGAAATAAAAAAATCTGAAAATGATTATGTATCAATCGTTTATACAATAAAGTAGTAATAAGTAACATTAAGACTTAATGTGTGAAGCATCTTTGTAAAAATTCAGTTCTTTATAATAAGAAATAAATAAACAATACACGATTAAACTTTAGAGTATAATTTTGAAATATCTGATATTTAACTGTTAATATTAAGCTTAATTCTCAATTAAAAGTTTAAAACTTTTACAGTAGATGCTCTACATATTACACTTTAACTTTACTTAGTATCATTTTTTTATTATATTAATACATAAAGAAGTTTTATACATTGTTATCTGTGTAAACCTTCTACAATTTACAAAGACAATGGGATAAAATAATATTAAACTAATAAAACAAAACTAAGTATTACTATAAGAATTACTAATCTCAAGATAAAATAATCACAATACAAGAATTTTTAAGTAGAAGAAATAAGTACGATCAATTATAAAAGAGGCGTATTTACTATTAACAGTGGTATGAAGACTTGTTAATAGGAGCAAACAGTTTATCAATTATCAAAAGAACACAACGAATAAGGAACTCAAAGAATTTTGTAATATTAACTTTATTACTTAATAAATCCTAACTAAAAACTAACTAAAACTTAGAGATCTATAATTTTAATATAATGTTAAATTTCTGTAATTTTTTGAGCATAATATTATAGAATTTTAACACGGTATTAAATTTCTGTAATTTTTTGAATGTAATATTATGGAATTTTAACATTTTAATAACTTTCAAAAATTTTCATAAATTTTTGTAATATTACATGAAAAATTACAGAAATTTATCACTGTGTTAAAATTACAGAATATTATGTTCAAAAAAATTTCTTGATGTTCTTGGTTATATTGTAATTATAATTGCACGCAAAATTATTTTGGGATCCCGAAATTGCAATTTTGAAGAAATAAGTCGAAATAGTTTTTCATAGAAAATGAAATTATTTTACTTAAAATCCAAAATTTTTTGACCACCCAGATTTATTCTTTAATTGAATATACACATAACTGAATACTTTTTTTATTTCTATATATAGAATAGATTCTGCATAAATCTCAAAAAGTCAAAATACTTCAAAAATTCAAAATCAATTTTGGAAACATATATAATTATAATAATGATTTCTTCAAAACATATAATCATTTTTATAATAAAGGTGATATCAATGGATCACCATTAGTATTTCCAACTGCAAGAATCTTATTATCTTCTGAAAATAATGTCAGATTAATACAAATTAACTTACAACCTACTGATATAATAGTTTCAAATACAGATTTTAATCCAGAAATTCACAATGAAGATTACAAATATATGCATTTAATGGCTGGATTTTTAATTAATAACAATGATACTACTTTACTAATTTCTTTTTCAGATCCAAATTTAGGACTTTTACTATTTCTTGATTTATTTCCTTTAGGACAAGGTCATTATGTAGATTTTAAACTATTACATAATAATAGACCAAATATTGATACATTAGGTTATACGTGTTGCCCAAATCCCAAATCATTTGGAATTTGGGACGCCAAAATTCCAAATTACTAGTATTTGGGATTTGG